ACCACCACAATAATGCAAAGTAATTAGCCTCCAACTATAATAAATTAGTTTAAAAAAAGTTTAAATTTTTAGTTCTATGTATAATCAAAGTCTAAATTCTAGTTCTCCCAACAGTTAATGTATTTAAACATAGAGTAAAATTTAGCCTACTAGAATTGTTCCTGCCAGGTATGCTGAAAGTGACTATAGTGTTAAAAAAAGGACCATTTTATGTGCGCTAAGTCACTTCAGTCATGTCCAACTCTTTGAGACCCAATGTACTGTAACCCTCCAGGCTCCTCTGTCCGTGGGATTCTCTAGGCAAGAATACTGGAATGAGTTGCTGGGCCCTCCTGCAGTGGATCTTAGCAACTCAGGGATCAAATCCACATCCTTTATGTCTCCTGCATTAGCAGGTAGGTTCCTTACCACTAGCACCACTTGGGAAGCCTGGACTACTTTATACAAAGAAATAATATCTTCATAACAAATATATAACTTTAGTCATTGCTATAATGCTTACCTAAACAGTGCAATAAACTAAAGGTCAAATGGCTAATATTTCCAATGTATAAACAACTACATCATTCGTAAGGGAGACAGTGTAACAGACATCTTTGAAGATGGCATCTGATGGTTCTCACCTCTTAATAGTTATGTTCCCCTGTAATCTCTCCCTCTTTGAATAGGGTCACCTTTTATAACCAATAATATATTGCAGAAATGACAGAGACTTCTCAGACTAGGTCATGAACAGCTTCTATGGTGTTCTCTTGAATCACTAGTTCTGGGGAAAGTCAACTGTCTTGTTATAAAGATGTCAAGCAGACCTATTTAGAGATCTATGTAGTGATTAACAGACACCTTCTGTTAGTAATGGTTGCTTCCCTGGTGGCTCAGTGGTAAAGAATTCACTTGCCAAGGCAGGAGACTTGGGTTTGATCCCCAGGTTGGGAAGATTCCCTGGAGAAGGAAATGACAACCCAGTCCATTATTCTTGCTTGAGAAATCCCATGAACAGAGGAATCTTGTGGGCTGCAGTCCATGGGGTTGCGAGAGAGTTGGACAACACAATGACTAAACAACCTGTCAATAACAGGCACCAGTTTGTGGGGCGTGGGAATGAGCTGTCTTAGAAGCTGATCCTCCAGCCCTAGTCAGGCCTTCAGAGGATCAGCACCAGGTGACATTTGACGGGAACCAGGTGAGGGACCCTGAGCCATACCCCACTAACTGCTCCTGAATTCCTGACCCAGACATACTGAGAGAACAAAAGCTTCCTGTTTGAAGTTGCTAAATTTTGGGTTGTTACTTAGCAACAGAAAACTAATAAGGGCAATGTAAATAAACAAAGGACAGAACATAGGCTGAGAGGCTGACAAGTGTAAAATGTGTCCTGACAGCATCTTTTATGTGAGTGCTCTTAGACAAGTTAAGTTTCTTACATTTCAATTTCGTCATCAGTAAACTGAAGATAACAAATCATACCTCACAGAGGTCTGAAGAATAAATGAGATATAATTTTAAGGTCCTGGGAAGTAATATATCCTTGATAATGTTTCTTCCTTGTCTTTAAATTGTGCTTAATTTTGCAGAGTCTTTTTTTTTTTTTTTAAGTTTTCGAGCAGAGTATTCTCAGTGCACAGAAGAAGATTTTACAGGATGTGGTACAACTATAGGCAAAGATAAGATTAGAGATGATCAGGTATTTCCTCCTATTTGTTTGTGTTTATTTGCTCATATTTATCTGAATGAAAATCTGGCTTTGAAAATCTTGACCTAAGCAAGATGAATTTTTATAAATATCTCTTAAAGTACATGGGCTTTTCAGGTGGTGCCAGGGGTAGAGAATCCACGTGCCTATGCAGGAGCTGCCAGAGACACGAGTTGGATTCCTGGGAGGAAGATCCCCTAGAGTAGGAAATGCAACCTACCCCAGTATTCTTGCCTGGAAAATTCCATGGACAGAGGAACCTGGTGGGCTATGGGTAGCAGAGAGTTGGGCACAGCTGAGCATGTACACACAAAAGTATATGAAGAGAGTAAGTTATTTCTGAATATTTTTCTGTAAGCCTCAAGTATAAAAGGAAATAAAACTAAGAAAATAAAACTTCTCCAGGTCTTGTAAAAACTCTGCTCTGTTCCAAGAGAGTCTCTGACAGCCTCATGCTCCTGTTAACAACCTTGAGGTCAAGAAAACAACCTGAAAACATGCTGTATATGTTTCTTTTCTGTCTAGTTATCTTGACTCCATTATTTCTGTGTCTTTGACTAAACCAGTTGAGAAAGTATAAGTGAGTGTTTCTATGTGCAGTCTTATTTTGCCAACTGATAAGTTAACTGAAATGCCTTTATCCTGGCATTTAACATTAACATTTCAAATTATTTCTGATAGATCCTGAGGTCCCATGACCATACCACGTGTCACAGTATAGAGGTTAATTCCATGAACTCCGTCTGAATATTTGCAAGACTTCTTGGGTTCAAATTCCAGCTCTGTCATTAACTATAGACTTGTGCAAAGTACTTATAAATACACTGTACTTTGATTTCTCTTCAGCAAAAAGTAAGAATAAAAATATTATCTTTCTTATAGGTTTGTTGTGAAAATAAAATGGGTTAATGTTAAACAGCAAGTGCTTATCACATAGGTAGCTTTTCATTTTGATAAAATAAATATTTAAAATATCCTGGACCCTGAAGGTAGCATGGTAGATGCACTTAGTAAGTGTAACAACAATCATTCAACAAGCAGAAGTTTTCTTTCTCTCACTTCCTAAATATATTCAAATTTGCTTTTTTGTAATTTTGAGAAGATAGATTTATATATTCTAGTGGTATTTGAGAATTTGGATATTTCTTCAAATACAGCTCTAACAAATGATAAATGTATACTTCATTCTTACATAAAATATGTATTTGCCTTTGAAAGTGCATTTGATTTCACAGCTGCTAGACTTTTTTCTGTGAATGAGTGTAGTAGGGAAGGGCTCTGATTGGGGAGAATTAATCAACCTCTTTTAGCAGTGGTTCTAAACTCCTTTGAAATGTTATAGTCCATCTCCCCACTTGGGGAAAAAAAAAACAAACACTGAAGCCACGACTGCAGACACCACTTGGCTCTTTTCTGCCTTTGGTATAGGCCAAGCAAGTGGGGTGAGGATTGTCGTAGTCTTTTTGACAATGGTCACTGAATTTAGGAAAGTGGAAGAGAGAGATATAGCACACATGCAAAAAATAGTAGAAATAAAATGGACTTTAACAAAGGAGTTCTCACTTGTGCTACTAAGAATAATCCTGCTCATTAACCTTTCAGAAAGGCATGACACAGTTTCAAAAGTGAATTTGAAAGATATGTAAAATAATTTAAGCCACTTTTTTTAAAGTGTGCTTTGTGGAGAACCAGGGATGGGGGAAGGAGTTACAAGAACATCCTAATGGAAGGGGAGCTCTGAGTAGATAGAACTGAGACTACATTCACCCCTACTTTCACAGATATTACTTAGTGGGCTTTCAAATAGGATTATATTTGAACAAAGGGTTTCAGAATTTTCAAAGGATTGAGAACCATGCTTCTAGATGTTTACTGATCATCACAAACTGAAAACTTCTTAACCTGGAAATCTGAGGAAGGCTATATTGCCAGAAATATAATCTTGTAGGGTTGGGATGAGGGTGACCACAGATGAGTTTATCTAATTTTAGGTATATAAAAATATAGGGGAGCTTCCAAAAGCCACCAAGATTTCAAATGAATAAAAACATTAATTAATTAGCAAAAAGAATTAGAAATTAAGTAGCCCAACTTGTAGAAGAGGTTGCATATAAAATAACTGCAAAAAAATTTTGGGTGAATCCACTATCAGTTATCCAAAACAAATGAGATAGTTTTATTGTTTTATTGTTAAGGCTGATGTTAAAGGAGAATATCTCCCATAAAACCTCTTTTGATTACAGTTTAAGAAACAAAGTACCTACTCATGTCACATCCATTTTCATCCATTGTGGCAAGATCTAAGTTCTTATGTGATTTCACCTGTTTTCTGTTCAGACACTTAGCTGTAATTAGTTATGAGACATGACATTTAATAAACCCCATATGTTTATGTTGAACAGTAAGGGACTGCCAATATTTAGCCTTTTTGACTGAAAAAAAAGTGTAAATTTCATATGGTCCAAGCTAACATTTTCTAGAATACATTCCCTCCTTAATTTTGAAGCCATTTTATATATATATATATATATATATATATAAAATAGATGATATTCTCTCCTCTGTATTACATCTTCCATTTAATCCACAGGGGTCCCATTCTTCTTTGTTGGCTTGATAAGAACAGGTGAAGAGGTCTGAATGAGCCCACTGGTTGAAAGTAAAGAGAAAGACCTTAAGTCCTGTCTTCTCTTGTTCAACAGCTCTTGCTAAGTCTTTCAGAAGCACCTCAAGGGGACAATCACATACAGCTGATGTTAGAGTAGCGCTAAAATTCCCTTCGTTAGTCCTTCAACCATGCAATTTATCCCTCTACAGTCCCTTTAGTGATAGAATACCTGAAATGCCATATTCTGTAAAAACAAAATGTTAAAGTGTCTTGAGGGAGAGGGAGGCAGGTAAAAGGGTTAGGCTGATCAAGGAAGCCAGGCAGAGTCAGCAGCTCTGATTGCTTTTGGAGTGCTCTCATGGAAGCTGGGCCCAAGTCCTTTAAGAGCTGGTTTATTTCCCAAATAAACATGGTTTCCAGAAAGAGCAATGGTGTGCTGGCTCCGAAGGGAGGGGAAGAAATGAAAGGTATCAGTGATGGGGAATTTGCTGGCATTTCTGAGATCATATAAACCAAAGTGGACATTTCTTCTGGATGCTATTAGCTACTCATCCCTCCCACGTGGGCCTCTTCGTGCCCCAGAGAAGGCTGCTAAGAATCATTCAAGCCAGATAAAGGAACTGTTTAAAGTAAATATCTGAAACACAAACCCATTAACTCAAAGTGCTTGAAACAGAGTAATAATCACAAAGTCCTTACTTCTTCTCCCCTTTGTACCATTCAAAGGCCGGAGGCGGCACACCTGCACCTTCGCATCTTATCAATCCACTGCGTCCGGGGGCCACGGTGCCAGATTTAATTTCCTGAATTGTAGGAGCAACTGAAAAAGAAACAAAGAAAGAAAGAAACTGGCGGGTTAGTTAAAATAATCTTCAACAGAAATAGAGCACACATATTTTTATTCCTTCTATATTCAAAGCAATCTTATGCCTGATAGACCAATGCATCACATTTTCAGTGTTTTATGCTTCTCATATGAGACCAGTTATTTTCAGCTTCATTTTTCACGCTGGACAAATAGACAAATGTTCCTAGGGAGTGCAGAGTAAATGCAATACATTTTGGCCTTGCTTCCTATTGGAAAAATGGCATTGTTGAGAGGAACACTTCATCTGTACTCCAGTCAAACTACACTTTAATAATAGCTCTCATTCCCTGAGTGACGGCTGGGAACCAGTCATGGTGGCTCCGTGCTTTATGTTCATGATTTCCTCACAGTAATGCTCTAAGCTAAACGGTATTATCCTCATTTTGCAAATGTGAGAACTGAAACTCAGAGAGGTTAAATAATTTGTCTGAGGTCACACAGCTACTCAGCTGCAGAGTTTGGATTTCATGTCAGGCATGTTGACTCAAAGTCTGAGCTCTTCCTATTCCATGTTTTTCCTTACGCCCTATCATGTTAGTGCTTTTTTAAAATGTGTTTCCTTCTACCTGGAATGCTATTCTTCCCCATTTCCACAGATTCAAGGCCCAAATTTTGGGGTCACCATCTCCTTACTCTTCCTTGTTGCTCTGGCAGGAAATAGCTCTCCTTTGTTCAGAATAATTTCTCTAAATCTCTCATAACTTACACTTTTTGTCTTGTAATGATGGATACATCAGGCTTCCTTGTCAGCTGCCTAAAGGCAGGATAAATATCTGATTTATCTCTGCTTATTCAGAGGTAAAAGCACAGTGTCTGGCACAAAATGATGCTTAAAAATATTCATTGTAGCATAGGAGAAGGGAATGGCTACTCACTCCAGTATTCTTGCCTGGAGAATTCCATGGACAGAGGAGCCTGGCAGACTTACAGTCCATGGGGTCACAAAGAGACAGACACAACCGAGGGACTAACATATACATATGTGTATATATGTTTGTGTGTATGTATGTATATGTAGATATGCACATATATATTGGCTTTATTTTTCTGTGAGAACCCTGAATAATAAATGGAGCCAAAGGATGGAAGATTAGATGGGAACTTGAGGGCAATTTTAAGGACTTGGTTTCTACTTTGAATGAGATGGTGAACTACTACACAGTGGGGACATAATCTGGCTTTTCTTTTAAAAGTATCACATCACTCAGGCTGCTGTGTTGAGAAAAGATTATCATGAGGCCAGGATGAAAGCTGCTACAGTAAGTAAGGCAAGTGATGTTTGCAGCTCAGACTACGGTGGTAGCACCTGAGGTAGTGGAAAGTTGTACCACAGTTTACTTATCCATCCACCTGCTAAAGAATTTCTTGGTTGCTTTAAGCATTGGCAATTACATGGAAAGCCACTAAACATCCATTTTTCTGTGTGGATGTAAGTTTTTGACTCCTTTGGGTAAATACCAAGAGGTACAATTGCTAGATTATAGGATAAGAGTATGTTTAGTTTCGTAAGAAACTTACAAACTGCCTTCCAAAGTTTGTATGTATGAGAATACCAACTATGTATGAGAATTCCTGTTGTTCCATGTTCTCATCAGCATTTGGAGTTAGTGTTTCAGATTTTGTTCATTCTAATAGGTTTGTAATGGTATCTCTATTTTAATTTGCATTTTACTAATGGCATAATGTGAAGTATATTTTCATGTGCTTGTTTGTCATCTATACATCTTCTTTGGTCCATTTTTTAATTGAATTGTTTATACTATTTATATTGAGTTTTAAGTATTCCTTATATATTATGGATAACGGTCTCTTATCAGATGCATCTTTTGCAAGTATTTTTCTCAGTCTGTGGCTTGTCTTTCCATTATCTTGATAATGTGGTTCACAGAACCCAAAATTCTAATCAATTTATCAACTATTTTTTTCCATGAATTATGCCTTTGGTATCTAAAAAGTCATCACCAATTGCAAGGTCATCTAGATTTTTCCTATTTAATTTTTCCAGTTTTGTATGCCTCTATTTTTCCATAAATATTTTCTTTTCTACCAGTCTACATTTAGCATAGTGCATATTTCAAATAACACGATGAAAAAAAGTTCAATGTAACAGGAACCTGGAATATGCAAATACTAATTCATTCAGACAAAAGACTTGACTAAGTGTGCACCTTGGATATATTTTAAGTTTCTTTAGAAAGCAATAAAAAGGTACAGAGTTTAATGATTTTTCAATATGTAGTGAATATAAAAACTGTAAACACTCTTCCAACAGAACATTGCCTTTCTTTTTAAAAATACCTGAGCAGATTAATCATTTTCTGTTAAGGGTGATTCTTTACTTTGAATTTATAGCCCCTCTATTTCTCTGTGGTATTTTTAACTTTAATAGTAGGCTCAATTAGAAAGATATTTGCAAAGAAATATTTTTATAGATGTTTTGCTAATAACTTGGTGAAAAATAATTTTGAGAAGTATGAATAAGAAAATGAAAGAATATACATAAGCACATTTATATATACATAAATACAAACACATACATACTCTCTAATTCAAAATAAAGAACCATTTAATAAGTTTTAACTTTTTTAGGTAAAGATGCACATCCCCCCCTTATCAGGCAATAACAATACAAAAGATACCTACAAATAAAAACTCACTTATTGTCAATTATTATGACACTGTTTTGCTTGTAAGAGATATAGGTAAGATTATATTTTCACTCTGTTCTCACAGACTTTCATGTATTTCTCTCTCTGTCACACTATGAGGCCATAATCTTTTATGATATCCAACTATTACTGAAGATGAAATAACATATGCAACAGGAGATCCATCACAAGTTTCTATTGAAAACCTAGCTAGTTTAATTACTCCCTTGTCTGTCAAGGGGGCTATGACTCATTACAAACAAAACCATGAAATCCAGAACATGGCCTGAAAACCCAGGCGTAATGAACCTAAATAAAAATCTAATTTGTCATTAAAAGCCTTTTATGCAGTACAGTGTACATATGGTTCAACATTTGGTAAACATACAAGTTAAAGGGACACAATCATGTTGTCTAGAGGGTTCATGGGTGCTGAAATGGACACTGAAAAACAGAAAGATACTAATATGACATATGGAAGCCTAGATAAAGAATGAAATAGGAATTAATACTGTGAGTAAGAAAAGGTCCTCAGAGTGTTTTATGTGTTAGAGAATTAAAGGGCCATGGGGTGTAAGTAATCAATATGGAAAGGGAAGTATCAAATACATTTCATTTTGAGGCTAAAATTATAAGCTTGAACTTGCAAACTGTACTGATTTTTCTTTGGGACATGAATGAACCCTTATGCATGTTATTCTGCCTTTTTTGAAAATGACTGTACAAGAGGAAATAGATCCCTCCCTTTATTTATTCTTCATTCCTTCATCAAATCAACAGGTACTTTTTATTGAAGACTACATTAATAAAAAACATAACATCCCTGGTCTCATAAGACTAAGATTCTTAAGTTTGTATGTATGCATACATGTACACAAATGTGTAAGCAGTAAATAAATAAACAGTAAGGGAGTGATACAAACTAAGATAGAAATTGAGCAAGATGAAATAAAAAAGAATGCAAGGTGGGTTATTTTATTGGTGGAGTTACAGAGCTACTTATTGATAAAGCAAAGAATTTGAGCAGAGAATTAAAGGATGTGAGGAAAGAAATCATGTGGTTTTCTATAGAAAATTATTAAAATAAAAGAAGAAAACTCAAAGACCCTGAGGGGAAATCACCAAGGTAAAAACATGCTTAACAGGTTTGAGGAGCAGCAAAACAGTCAATGTGACTTGAGCAGATTAACTGAGCAGAAGAATCCAGAAGAGAAGGTTGGATAGGCAGCTGGAACTCAAATTCGGAGGGTCTGCTAGCTGATGGTAAAGGCTTTGAATTTTATTCTAAGAAGACGAGGTTGTGGAGATTTTGAGCAGATGTATGACATGAGTTGATTAACATTTTATACAGATTTTTGGCCACTGTGTGGAACATGGTCTGCATAGAGGCAGGAGAGGAAACTGGCAGAATGGCTAGAAGCCTGTTGTAGTAATCTTTAGGATGATGAGAAAATCATTGGCCAAGCTATAGAAAATGCAGGAATTGAGAGAAAATTTAATTAAATAGATCATTGGTCACATTGGACTTGAGTCAACTCATTTTATTTAACTGGCAGTGAGAAGACATGTTTAGTGAAATTCCAAGTTTACACCATTCTGAATCCTATTGCTTTGTATAAATAAGAGTTCTGTGGCCACTGAAATGTCTAGTCAAACCTAATAGTTTTCTTTTCTAGAGAATATCTCAGAGACTGTGATGCTCATGTATTCCTTGTGAATCTCACAGTATGGAGCTTTTCCAAATTTATGAGACCACAGAATTACAGAGCATTTTATACTGAGCTCTTGAGGGCCAAATATTTTGTGGGGCATATTCTGAATATTTTGGACCTTTGGAGAAGTATATGTCTAAGGTCTATCCCACATCCTCTGTTATGTGATACATGACTTTTCAAGTCAACAGTCATCACTGCTTTAACTTCTGCGCATGCTCATGAGCTATAAGGTACTAATGAGTCTTATGTATTTATTTGCATCAGAAGGATATGGCCATTTTTTTTTTTTGCCAGAAATATATGCCTCACAACAATTATGGTTAATTACATCTCTAACTGGAGCTATAACAGTGAATTTTATGTGTGCTGGGTAAAGTTGTACAAAGCACTCAGTTTCCCCTGAAATGTTCCATGTTTTAGGAAATCATCTTGGGCTCTTCCTAGAAAAGACAATCAAAGGATAAAACTTGGGCAGTTGCTCTCAGAACTTATTTCTTTCCCCATCACACCATTTTGTTCTGTGAATTTTGGTCCTGGAATAGAAGTAGGAGTAGGAGTGTAAACATGTGCATATACAAGCATTTTTATT